TGCAAGTTTATACTGTATTTTTGACCTGGTTTTGCGGGTGCTAACTATAACGAAGTATTTGGACTGTCATCTTTCTGGAACGGGAAAGGCATCTGAGTACACTGCATCTTTTTTCTGATAAACGGATTAAATACACTTTGAAACAAAAATGAAGTTATCACTATTTACCGGCAGTAGGGTGGAATTTAGCAAATGGCTTGGACACCCCCCAGTCTTTTATCTACAATTAGTGATGCTAATAACAGTTGGACTCTATGACACTAAGAGCTACCCATACACAACACTTGAACCAGCACTTCTACCAGTCTGGTACGGAAATGGCAGACAGACCTCAGAATTAAGTACACAATATTTTAAAGATCTGATCAGTAGCAATTTGTTAAAACCCATTTTTTTCATCAATGTGTTTAATATATCAACTGCCCAAAATACCAAAGAAAAATACATTTATTGTGTTTGTTTTAAACATTCTCACAAAATATTTTAAGGCAGAGTCTTAAGAGTTTAGCCTGTTTACAGAGATTACCAAGCTATAAACAAATTAACATCTGTATCCAGCATGATTTCTTCAGTAGTTCATAATCTATGTCTGTGCTCATGAGAAATTTAGTATAAAAAAAACTTTTTTATTTTTTTAAGGAAGTGTGTTTCCTCACATTCAATCCCGTACTTTGTACTCAATATGTTTGCACTAATGTTGTCCAGAAACTAATGCACATAACTAATGGAAGTAAAGAGCAACCTGGATTTAATTGCACGAGTCCAGGTTTGCATATTAATTAACTTTTGAGGAAGTATGTAAAATACTTAAGTATTAGATACATAAGAGCTGATTTACAGAATTACAGTACGTACCACACAACTTTCATCAGGGTTGTCAACTTTATTAGGTACACGAGGCTGTTAAACAGTGAGTTCACCTCTGACTCAAGAACTCCATGTTTTTCACATGAAAAAATGACCTCCCAAGAATGTCGCAGAAAGGATAAAGAGGAACCAAAAGGGGGAAAAAATATTAGCAAATATGCTATGTGTAATTCTAAAAACAAATACATAATCTGAAGTGAAAATTACATGGATCATTTTCATTCCCTACCCAGTTGTTGGGGTCAACAGCACACCGGAAAAGAACAAGATCCCTTATGAAACTGAGTCAAATGTAGACATGAATGAACAGATGAGTAGAATATACAGCAATGCCTAAACCAATAAGCAGCCAGGAATGAAAACTTTCATACACCTAGAGCTAAACTGCAGAAGTTCAGGCATGGCACATACCCCACTTAGTCAACCTTTCTGCATAAACAGCACTTCGTAGAAAAAGGCAGGGCAGTGACCCCTTCAGCTATTCATGCTGCACCAGAATAGAAACCATGGGAAACTATCAAAAACACACAATCCTAGATGATGGTTTACAATGGCTCAACAAAAACTAATCTGCAAGATGCTACGCCTAGATATCCCATATAAACAAACAAACAAAAAAAAAATCCCATATAAACATAGGAAAAACAAAGAAATTTATTTCAAGCAAGAGTAAATGAAAAATGAAATACAGTCCTAAAAAAAAAATAAAATTATGAGATGCTCAGCTTCAGCAATAACAACTCAAATACCCAGTAAGGAAGGAGATACAAAACAGCTTGGGGATGTTGTATATCAAAGACCACCCATTAATAAGATTAGCTGAATAAACTGTTGGCATACCCTAACAGACAAGAGCGCACATGATGTTAAACTCAGCATTTTTATCAAGTTTCCCTGGTATTTCCCCCACCTCAGAAAGCAAACATACAAACTCTTGGTTCTTCTTAAAAAACTGTAGGCATATACAAAATAACAGTACATTCCTCTTATTCAATTTCCTTCCCCAGCCAGAACAGCAAAAGCACTCTCTTAGACCCAACATCTCTCTCTCACCTTTCACACCAAAGCCTTTGAATTCTTTTAAGCTCTGTCATACATCCATTTTATACTTTTGCTGTTCTTTTCTATGATCCTCCTTTCATCTCCTACCCCAGGAAACACCTGTCTTCGATCCTGACAGAATAACAAGATCAAATTTTGTATTTACTGTTTAGTTTTAGTTTTTCCCAGACAACCAATTTTTGAGGCCAAATATAAACTTCTATCCTGAAATAACATCCTAAAACCGATACTGCCATTCTCACATGCAACCATTAATAAATTTCACTCTCATTAGACAGAATGGGAACGTTAGACGTTGTCTATTCTCCCACGTGCCTGGTGACAGGACGAGGGGGAATGGGCTAAAGTTGCACCAGGGGAGGTTTAAGTTGGATATTAGGAAGAACTTCTTTACCGAAAGGGTTGTTAGGCATTGGAACAGGCTGCCCAGGGAAGTGGTTGAGTCACCATCCCTGGAGGTCTTTAAAAGACGTTTAGATGTAGAGCTTGGGGACATGGTTTAGTGGAGGACTTCTTAGCATTAGGTCAGAAGTTGGACTCAATGGTCTCGGAGGTCTCTTCCAACCTGAAAGATTTTGTGATTCTGTGACCCGTTAAATCAAAACCCAAAAGATACACTATGATCTATGCTAGGACTCCCAAAACACATACACACAAATCACTCCTCTGGCAAAAAAATAAAAACAACAAAAATCTGCATATTAATAGTATTATATCCACTATGCTTATGAAGAAAAAAGTGTATGGGAACATGCATAAATAAAGCACTCTACTATGATTAGTGCCTTTGAAGCAGCTAGTTTGTAATACAGAAACATAAGCCAGGTTACATGAACTGGCATGAGGAAGGCTGGATCTATGAAAATCAGGCTTTTGTAAAAGTTTCTATCAAAAACACAAAGAAAACATAGAATAGCAAGGCTCACAGTTAAACAGCCATAGAAAATCTATCTTGAATATCTAAACCATTTTCGACTCATTTAATAAGATAGTTTCTACTGTTCCTTATATAGTGACAGCTGATAAATTTTTTAGCCAGATTGATCTGTGTTACAGCAGCCTCTTCAGAGCACGCAGTTCCATACCGCTGCTGCTCTGGTCACTCCCTCTAATTAACTGGCTGTGCAGTTTCAAGAGGCAAAGTCCAGCACTTTCCAGTAACCATCACATTACTAACAAGACAACTACAGACCACTGCAATTGGGGATCATGTGCCAGCCCTCCACTGCTGTTTTCTTCCAATTTCTCTGAATGAAGTTTCTGTAAATCCAGTAAAATCTCGCACAGGCACAAAAATGGAGCTCCCCAGACAAGTCATAAATGCCTTCCCCCACAATTTTGAAATTGCTTTGTCTATGACTAATGCAGGAAACACTGGATCTGTGTCCCTGGAGCAACAAAGTAATTTTTCAGACTTTCAACTTAAAATACATTCTGAAGTACGTAGAAAACACAGTCTGGAAAATAAAAAACAGACGAGTTTCCTTGCTGGAACACATCTAAGAAGCAACCTTCATAAAACATATTCTGAAATACACTGATACCAACACTTAACAATCAGAAATCATATAACTATTCTTCAGTTATCCCATTGCTGAGAAGTGTGACACAAAGCTGTGACATAACATATTCTGGGAAAAGAGAAAAAAAAGTTTAAATAACTCTCACCAAGGCTGTTTCAACATCACACTGGAAAAATAATCAATTTTTTTCATATATAAATATTATTCTTCTCAAAATCAGTGAGTATGGCTACAAGACAAAAGTCAACTTCAGGACCTAATGCTTTCCGAAAGCACACCACAGATTAAGCCATGTCCTGAAACCACCTTTAGTTGGCACTTCCCATTCGGAGTTGATTCAAATCCAGTTCGCTAACAGCAGTGTTACTTTGGGGGATCTTCTTTATCTTATGCACTAAGTCATGCTAAATTGTAGCATTGAAAAGCCACCAGAGCTGTGCTATAAATGCACAAACATTAGCTTCTTTTTAGAGCTGTTGCCTAACACCATTCTATGAAGTTTGGGTAACAGCACGATGTATAAACCCATGCAATTTACTAAAAGGAAGCGATTTCTCTCTGCAAATTCTCTTTATAATTAACTATAGAAAGTCAGCCTACATTTCTGAGTTAAGCCTTCTGCCAGTTTCTGATATTTCCATTAAAGAAAAAAAAATACATTTTACTGTGCTCTGTAACTTACCATCTTCTCTCCACAAAATCCATGCCTTCTCTGTTAAGGATTAGGAATCCTTATTGCAAGATCACAAATTTAAAAAGCCACAAAACTCCATGGTATTACAAAACATTGATCTTCCCATCTCTTCTCCCCTAACCTCAATCCCTAATGTGGAGAGGCTTTAGATAGCATGCAAAATATTTTATCCACATTAACAAACACCTCAGTAACTGTTTCCCATCATTTTCAGCAGGCCTGATCCGGGTCAGGGGAAAGCAAGTTGCCGTAAACAATAACTCAACTTTCACTCCTGAGTTGGAGAAGATCATTTCAATCAAATGCAGCCCAGGCACCTCTATTTTAAGGTATACAACTCTACTCCTACATCAGCTCTTGGATTATTTATGAAAACTATTTTCTTGTATTCACCAAGCAGATTTATTTGCCCTCCTACTTTATCTCCACACTCCAGCACTGCTACAAGACCGGATAATTCTATAAGTGGCACTATCTATGGATAAAAGCCTTCAGTCTTCATATTTTGAACTTTAAAAATTTGAACTGAAACATTTCATGGCTTTTGAGAGGTTTTTTTAGCCTCAGATTGATGCAAATGTAAACTGTTGCTCTTCCTTCACTGTTTTTCCCTTGGCCAAAAACACAATAGTTGCCACCTATACTTATTTTAAATAGTATTTTTAGCACAAAACAGGTGTACTGCCTCTGCTTTTTTCAGAAAAACTAAAGAATACACGAAGGCATCCACAAGGGTAGGCTTCAGGTACCTTCGTGCTTCTTTATTATTTCAATGACAGCAACAGCTTGCCTTCTATTTCTTTAAAAAACAAACACTCTACCGGTAGAAAGAGAAAAAATCACTCAAAACTTACAGTTTCCTTCGCACTTGGGGCGGGAGCAGCGCCTCGAGGCGGGGAGGCAGCAGAGGCCGCCATTTCACAGCCGAGCAGCAGCGATCGCCGAAGGGCGTTTGTGTACGTTGCCAAGGGGAGCGGGAGTGCCAGGCGGGGCTCCTAGGCTTCCAAAAACACGGAGCTGGCGGATCAAGAGCGACTTAGAAACGTGTTTTCTTCTCTCTGCCGTCGTTTTCGCGATCCTTTTTCTCAAGCAGTTTTCCCCTCAGCCTCACACCCGCAGGGAGCGCCTCTTCCCCTGCCCGCTCGGTCAGGGTACACGAGAGGCCAGGTACGCACGAGACAGAGGGAAGCTGCGCCTCACGGGTGCCACAAAATGGCGGCAGTTGATGCACATTGTGACGGAGGCAGTTGTGAGAACCCTCACGGCTGTGGGAGGGATGGTGTTGATTTTTAGTGTTTTGGTGAGTAATTTTACTTTTTTTGATTGTGTTTTTTGTTTGTTTGTCTTAAGAACTACTGAAGTGTTTTCTAGTCTCCTCTTCCCTTTGCAGAAGAAGGGGAGAAAAAATGCAGCAGACAGGGTGGGGAACAGGTGGCAGGCTGTGCCTCGTTTGTTGTCATAAATGAAATATAACTACAGATACTGTTTCCTTGTTGATGTTATGATTCTGAGAGGAAAACATATATGTATTTTCAAGAATTGTATCAGCGGGTACTTAAAACGTGCTTGGGCAATTTTGATCTCGTTTGTTCTGTAAAGCTGTATTCGATTTCTAGAATTTTCCATACTTTGAAATGTTGTTCTTTATTTGAATGACCAAACTGATCATAATCCAGGTAGTTGCTGCTTTCTTCGTTCTTGGTAAAAATGATGTTTCTTGCAGATGAAAGCCAGGTCTAGTTTGGGATCTGAGCTCCTGCTTAATTATTCCAGCTTGGGTTGGAGTGGAGCCTGGGGGATTTGGAAAACCCACGCTCACTGTCTGAGAGGTCATGGGGGAAAGGAAAATAAAAAGAGAATAAGAACAGAGATAGGAGTAGAGGAAGAATGACTGTACTGTTATGTTAGAGTACAGTTTGAGGAAGGAGAATATAAAATATGGCCAGGAGAGGTGACTAAGCATCAGGAAGAGAGAAACTGGTTGATGTGTCCCCTGACAGGGGAGTTGCTTTCTCATTGCCTAGTCAAGAAGCCTCTTTTTAAAATTTTTTTGTTTAGGTGTTTCAGGTTATATTTTAAATTTGAATGCATGTATGTTTCAATTTAAAGGAACGCTCCCACTGTATGTACACCTTTTGTATTTTCCAACTGAATGCCTGTGAAATATTTATCCATTTTGTAGAATACCGATTCAATAGAATCTTTTACAGGACTTTGGAAGTAAATTGTTACTGTATGATACAGGCTACTAATCTTAACTGGAAGGGAAGTTGTTTGCGTGAATGCCTAGACACAATGTGCTTTAAGAAGTTAAATGCATTGCTGTAGTCCATGTTTAGAGAGTCTGACTTCAGTCTCATGCAGGTCCTGAACATGCCTGAGCTATATTTAAATATTTCTTTACTCTAGACCTATACAGTGTTAAGAGTAATTGGAATTTTATAAATCAGTAGCATATACTTCACAAAATCTGGTGAGTAAAGAACATATTATTCTTTATTTATTAACATGATATATTTTAATTCTATTCAAATTTAGAATATCATAGGTATTCTAAAAACAACGAATGAATGCTAGTATGCCACAAATATTTTCACATTAGATATATTTAAATTCTACATGAAAGTCAGGTTTTCTTCTAGCAGCTTCTATGGAGGGTAAATGGTCTTTTCAGCTTTTTTATAACTCTACATAAAGTCAATTAAAATATACTTTTGTAATGAGAATTAAGATCATATGGAAGTAATCATGATTTTATTTGGATAATGTAGAGGTATGATGAAAGACTTCTGGTGTTCTACAGGAATTCTTCCTATTCCATTTAAAAGCTCCACTGGCAGTGTCTAAAGACAGTTTCATATAATTACCACTGTGAGGCTGTAAACTACAGGAAACTCTGTTCAGCATCCCATGTGGTATGGTCTCTGCCAAAAGAATTTAAGGCACAAATCAATAATTATTTTCAAAGAACAGCTTGGTATTTCCATGCAGTTGGATTAGTGTACCAGTATTTTATTCAAAAAATATTGACATGCCCAGTACACAGTCATGAATTTCCTGGATTTATGTCGCTACCTCATTGTAATAAAGATGCTACGTTCTGACCCACAAAAAGGAATGCACATGCAAGTTGCCATGCTGAGATTAGCACTTCAGTCAGGGAAAACTCCAGCCAGAATTTTTGAGTCAGCCACATTTTCCAATAGCACGTTTGTGCTTTTAAAAATTAAAACTCTTCTGCTTTGCTTTTTAATATTGCTGTTTTACCTGAGCTGTAGAAGAACACTTACACTCTTGAACATGTTTTTTCTTTTCTGTATCTTTTTCTACTATGTACATTCCTGACTGGCAAACCAATGAGTGTTTGGGGTCTGGTTCAGCGGAAGAGCAGAACCACTCCTTGATTTTGCATGTATTGTTTGAAACTCTCTGATTATGCAGTTTTTTGAAATCCCATGCTCTTATAATGCAAACTTAATAACGCTTCTGACTATAGCACAGCAGCTATGGTTAGTCTCTTTGTGCTTAATGTAACTTTCTTTAGTGTAACTTTCTTCCACTGTGAAGAACTGGATGTCATTTGCTGTCTTCAGAATAGAAAGAATACTGCATAATTGTGCTTTGCCTGCCAAGTATGAGAATTTGGCACATGCATATATTTTTTCTAAAGAAAGAATTTATTACAATACCATGGTGTCACTGCAAATTTTAAATTAGATTTGGTGTTAATACTGCAAAAAACAAGCTTGACTGGAGGTCTTGAAATTGCTTCTAGATTGCCCAAATGTTAATGGTTAGTCTAGTAGGAGCAAGCAACGTATGAATTTGAAAATTAAAGATGATTTGTGGTGAATTAAATACATTTTTCAGTATAACAGCTAATGAAATGTACATTTTGACTTTGTTATGAGTGTACTATTTAATTTTGTTTGATTGTTATGTTTCTCAGCTGTGAATTGAAACTGCACACAAATAACATGGGGAGCTTGCAGATGTCTATAAATGCTGATTGTGTATGGAGTCAAGGAATTGATTTTGTACTGTCACAATGCCTGCTCTTGGACAAAGTAAAAAGAATCCTTAAATGTCTGCAGACCATTAAAAAAAAAAAGATTAAAAATTGTTAATAAGTTAGGTTGTTGAAGAAGTTTTACTTCTTCAACAGTAAAGAAGTAAAACTTCTTCAACAACCTAACTTATTAACTTCTAACTTATTTTACTTCTGTTGAAGAAGTTTTACTTCTTCAGCAATAGCTCAAATACATTTAACTAGAATTCTGAGAAAACTGTAAGGCTGAGCAGTTTTGAGAGATGCACACAGATAAATACTAGACAAATGGCATACGTAGCTTGAATATATCTATCCCACAATGTGTCTGAGATCTATTCAGATGCTGGACTGCAAAGTTTGATTATTACTTGTCCAATTTGATGATAAAAATCTGGGTTGCAGCGAGAGTTGGGTCCAATCTCACTTCGCTGTGACTTTCACCATGTCACTAAACCAGCTGTTCTGTAGTTCTTTACCTTGTAATATGAGGAAACTGTCACAGTTGTAAAAGTGCTCTGGCAGTGCTGTGTAACTTGCTACTGAATCATTTTTCTTGTATTATTTTCTATGGCATGTAAGCCTTCTTATTTGCATCCTGGTTTTCAACCACTTTGTTACATGGAGTAGTTTTATTTGACATTTCTGTCAGGGGATCAACCTTAGCTGATCTAGTACAATGCAGACTATGTATTGCTGCTGTTGACATGTATGCTTATGTTTTCACTCTTCTGTTTTTTCAGTTGTTTTACTGCTGAATTATATTTTACTGACAATGATTTGATAAGACAAGGAAATAAGTGTTATAATCATTGCCTTTCTATGTTGTGGCACTAACAAAGATTCCCTTAAACGTGTCTTAGAGTAAATCTAACTCTGTTAACTCTTACTGTAAACTATTTGAAGCAAGTCAAGACCTCAAGACCTCAAACGTAGGAAAGTTTGTGTGTGTGTATGTATGTATATATATACGTGCTTCGTTTATGTTCTGAAGTGTCCTATTATGTTCTTTATGTAGAAGAACGCATATAACATTTACTTTATGGGAACAAACATTTCATCACTCTCAAGTTACGTTCTGATTTTCAGAGTAGACCGAAGCATGACTTGAGAAATCACACTTGAAAAAAATACATATATTTTTGAAAAAAGCCTAACTTCTAAAGAGTCGATCTGTTTTTTAGAAGTGAGGAATCCATGGGCCTGAGCTACCCCCAGCTATATCCAGCAGTCTTTAAATGAATGATTAAATAATAGCTTGACCCACAGAGCATTCTTGCCCTAGAGTGAACATCAGGTCAAAAAGGGCAGTGTGAGAAGATTGCTCTGCTGCTCTGTTTCCTGTTACCTATTTAGATCTTTCCTCAAAGGAAACAGGCTATTGTGGTGGCTTAGGACAAAACTAATTTGTATTTTATGGAAAGCTATGTAACTACAAAGACAAAAAAAAAAAAAAAAAAAAGTCACTTTAAGAAAGTAGAGTAATAACATTTACTTAGAAGTGTTAGGAAGTAAGATCCTTGCTTAATGAACTTTGATCCCCCTGTAGAGGCCACTGAGGACATTTCCTTGAGAAAGGCAAATTGTCACTAGCAGTGAGAGGATCTCGGTGGCAAAGCAGTCAGTAGCACAGAGAAATTCTTGTGGTTTCCAAAGTAATATTCATGGGGTCATGGCAAGTATGACTAAAGAAATCTGAACAATTATACGTTCTTTGTTCTTCCCACAGTTGTGACATGCTGATGTTATACTTCAGATACGTGCTCACCCTTTATGCTGCATGAAAATCTGAAAGGCAAAAATTAGGAGGTGTTCTTCAGGAGTGAGGTCTTATACTAGTAGTTACTTAGCAACTTGATGTTAGAGAGAGGAACGTGAACTTTTTGCAGGCTTCTTCCCTTTTATTCTTCTTAGTTGAAATGGGATAAGCAATCTTGGCCTTGAAACCTGGGGTAATATGGTAAAGGAGAGGTGTTACAGTGTTATTTTGTCCAGATTCAAACATGTTAGTACAATATTCCTGTACTATGTTAATGGAAATACTTAAAAACTCAGTCCACATGAAATATACAAGCATATTTGGTATCAGTGGGGGCAGTAGTCTTTGAAGACATACAAGTACAAATGTATCAGCTATGATTTAGGGTGTATTATGGTTAATGATTTTCTTTGGAAATCTACTTATGCTGTACAAATTTACTTAAACAACAACAACAGCTACCGAAACATTTAGGTTTGGGGCTTTCAGTTTTTGGCAACTCTTTTGCTGTTAGCATTTTTCCTATGTTTTGACATATCTAATCAACATTGCCTTGCTTTACGTAAGGATTGCTTTTTCCTAATAGGCAGAATCCAATGAAAATCTCTTCAGCTTCTGCTTTACTTCGCAGATGTTATCCCTAGAGAGATGATTTTTATATTAGGCTTATATTGTGGGCTTAATGACTTTTCTCTAGAGCAGGTAACTTGCTTAGATGTTAGTAGAATGACAAGAGTAGAACAAAGAATTCAGCTTTGTTCATTAGTAGATTCAGCAGCTGTTTGTCTTCTCTACCTAATATATATCTGCCTTCTTGGAAGCACTTCTAAATGGAGCAAAGCAGTACTTCCAGAGTAAGGACAGTAGCAAAAGGAGATGCTTTATGGGAGAGTGTGCAAGCCTCAACACATTTTTGTGGTCCTTTCCCTTTTACTCTCCTAGCATCTACCATTGTTCTATTAGGGATGTTGGAAGATATACTCCAGCTTGATCCTTTTTGTATTTATTTATGTTCCTGTTTTCCACTGATCCGTGTATTCTTGATAGCTGACTTTGTTACAAGTAACTAGACTTCAAGTTTACAAATCTTTTTTTAATTTCCAAGTTAGTACTCTAACACAGAGTGATGTGTATCACCAGTTTAGTCTAACAGATATGTCTCAGAATTTAGACAAGTTAATACTAAATCAGTTTAGAATTGCTTGAAATCTTTAATGGAGACAACTTCTGCTTCTTTGTGAACCACCCTATTAGCACCAGGACACCATTTAAATTTCAAATATAATTAGGAAAGAAATAGTTTTGAGCTTTTCATGATTTTTTTTAGTTTTCAGCTTTCCTGTAAACTTCCAAGACGAACTCACCCAAGGCAGTAGAATCCTTTGTTTACCATCCAGTTGAAAGTTTATCTAGGACTATGCCAGTTTTCTTTAGCTGAAGCTACGTAATATCTCAGCTAAATATAAATGACATCAATCAAAATATTATCTCAGGTATTTTTAGTCTTCGCATACTTGATATTAATATTCTGGTTAGGAGAGAGAATAACAAACATGATGAAATCAGTTTGTGTGTTTTTTTTTTTCTTCCAGCTTCAGTGTTGCCTGTATATTAAGTATGCCTTTACTGGATGCACTTTCTTTAATAAAGTGGCTTTTTTTGTTTTGCTTTTGTTTTGGTAATGAAATATAACTGTTTTAATTCTTTTCAAGTTTGGAATTAGCTAGCCTGCAATTTTAAGCAAAGATGGGAAATACCATCTGGTATTACCCACTTGCAATTTTGTTTCTTTTGGGATCCTCTTAACACTCTCGCTTAAAGACAGGAAAACACTCGATTGATTTTGCTTCAGAGAACTGTTTGATATACCATGGAATTTGTTCTTTGCAGAAACACTTAATGGTTAAATAAACTTTTTTTCTCAATCTTTTAACATCCTTGTAAATATGCAAGTAAAATGTTACAACCACAAAGAAACTGCAGTCAGATAGAAACTAACTAAACTGTATTGACCTAGAAACTGTTGAAATATTTTATCCATCCATACATACAGATTTGCTTTGAATCCTTACGCTGTATTGTAAGGCAGCTCACACAAGTTTCTCTCACATTTTAGTTGCCATGCAATTATTTCATAAATAGCTTTTCCACATGGTCACTTAGTTTAGTTTGAGAGAAGGAATTAGAAGAGAATTTATACCCCTATCTCAAACAGTACTGTTATAAAATAGCTATCTCCTTTGGGGAATAAGGAGAAAGTAAGAGCTTTCCAAAAACTAAAATATGCAGCATTCAAAGCCAATTTTCAGTTTTAAGTAACTGAGTGTATCTCATAAGATTCCAAGCTAATATGTGTCAAAGCACACTTAGGTTGTTACAACAGAGAAAATGATAACTGTAAATAAACTGATTGGAAAGCACTATTTGGTTTGACAGTACAAAAACTAAAATTCAGAATCAACCCCCATGAAAAGATGTACTTACCACAAAGGCTCAAACTAAAATACTGTTTTGAAATAAATCTTTTCAATAGCACTGCGGTAGACTCTTCTACTCCAAGTGTGATTGTAGTAATCGGGAGTTTGAGGAAGCAGGCAGGGGTACTTGCTTTTTAAGGCTTTCTGAAAATATCAGGAATACGGTACGAGTTGGCTTTAGAACGCTGGTCAGACCTCTATAAAAAATATTACGATCATATATACGTTTGAAGTCCTACTCAAAATTCTTAGACCTCCAAAACTGGGGTCTAAAAATTGTATGTGAAAACAGAAGAACTCGTGTTCCTCTCCAAAAACCTTATCTGCATTTGCTTCAACAAACAAAAAAAGATTTTCAGATATTTCAGCCACCTAGAGAGCTTTTGGAGGCTGCCTCTGCATCACGGTTCTGTGACACAGGATCTGAGGAGACATCTTTATCAGAGGAACAAACAGCTGCTGCAGAGAAATGGAAACAGTGGTGAGATACAAGGGAGGATGCAAAGAACGAGGAATCACTGAACCTGGAACTAAATGAGTTGAGAAAGAAACTCATGACAGGAAAGAACAAGAAAAATGGAGTAGAAAAAAAAAGCAATAATGTTTATAGTTGAACAGCACTGTTTGACCTCAAGAATACTGAGGCAAAATGCAAAGGCAGGGTGCAGAAGAAAAACAACACTTTTTTGAAAATAAAAAATTGACGCTCTGAATATCTGGAACACAAACTACTTTCTGCAACCAAATTTCTATATACTTATAGCACAGCTGAACAGCAAGGCATGCAAATTAAAGACATGTGCCCTATTTGTCAGAACAACACCAGACAGCTTCAGTAACTCAGCGAGGCCCCACTCCTATTGCTTAAAAGCACAGAGCTTATAAAACAACTCAGTCAATTCCAGTATATGAGCTAATGTATTTGGAACAAAAAAAAAAAAGTGCACGAAAGCAATACTACTGTTTATATTAAATGTAGTAACTGCTTCTCAATGTCCATTTAACGTGATTTTTTTTTTCCCCTGCATTCTGCAAAGATGGTTTCAATCTGTCACAAACTCTTCCCCCTGCCCTTGACAATATGCTTGAAAATATCTTCTCTATCTACGGACCATCAAGGGTTGCACACAGTTGCAGAGGACGCATGCTGCTGAAAGGAAAGAAGAATGGAAAGGGCAGAAATAAGAAGGAAAACGGCAGTCATTGTATGAGTGGGGAGTTCATAGAGGTTGTATTGGAAAACTATCCAGTTTTTATGCAAATAATGAAATCCCGAGAATTACTGAAGTACAAGTACTTAACCATCAGTTTTCAGATTCAGTTGCAGTACCTTTAGTGGAGTTTAGCAAGCTGTGTGAGTATTGGAGAGGGGCAGTAGATACCTGAGGCAGTGTGCTCCAACACAGCAGGCTGCTGGTATGTTTCTGGAGGTGTCACCAAATGTGACAGTGGTAATGATGCAACTCCTGAGCAGCTAATACTTACACATTTCAGTTTGTATTGATTTACAGCGAGCAAGGAAGAGGCACAATGAGGAATGACACTCAGCTTTTAAATCTTTTGAATCTATTGACTCTTGTGCTTTTTGTAGCACAATCTGTCCTGCGTCTGTCCAACTTCTGCCTGCCTCAGCCCATGAGGGAGGTTTCAGATGGCTTCTCTGTTCTGGTCCAGGTGCATGAAAGCTTTCATCGGTCTTAACAGTAGCATGAGGTAAATTCATGATGGGAGCTTGGCAAGCACTCTTGATGGGCACAGTGCTGTTTATCTTCTTATCATGGTCCAACAGGTAATAGTGTGCTGTCAAACAGCTGAGAAATGTTATTCTGTGTATTTCCATTTCATGACTGGTTCTGGGATGTAAAAGTGGCTTTATCTAGGATTGTCATTAATTTTTTTATTTTTTTTTGTAGATACTAGTAAGGAGTGGTTGTCCAATATAAGTCTGTAACCTATATCTTAGTTACTTTGCAGTCTATGTAACTGGAAGCCAGTAGAGGAATGATGAATTAATTCAGTCATTTTGTTCAAGAGAGGATCTACTTAACTATCTAATCCACCATAATTGAAATGTCCCATTGTACGCGTTCGTTGCAGTAACTTACTTGTTTTCTAACAATGTCTCTCTAACTCACCCCTGTCCTGTATCAGTGTGCTTATATGCAGCACTGCCCTCTCCAAGAGTCAGTCAAGAGTGCTCACATGTTTATGGTTAGCTGTCCCATAGGAGGCTGTAAATCCTGGGCCTAATAACTAATAAATATTTCTAGGCTGCTTGCGGAAGCACTTTGGTTCTTCTTTCCACAGTGAGTTGCAAAATGCAACTGACAGGATTGATGTTTGTTTATGGGAAGATCATTTAGAGAAGATGTATCTGATTCTCTCTACTCAAACCTCAAATGAATAAATTGGAGGTCTTGTTGGATATACAAGCCAAAAATATTGCAGATTGTTGAGGGGAAACATTTTGAGCAATGTATTTATGTTTTCTGACCCTATTAGACACTCTTTAAATAAGTATTTAGCATAGCTCTAAGGGCTAAACATTGGTATTAAAAAATATATAAATACTATGGATTTCTCTGTAGCGATACTTTGCTAGTTTATAAAGAAACTAAAAGCAGAACTTGAATTAGTTGACCTAGCAGAACTCTATTCCAAAATGGTTTAACAACCTACAGTTTACGTAAAATTGAGCTTAGGTACAACAGAAGAATGGAGGAAGGAAGAGAAAACTTAGCCATGTATGTATCTGGAAAACTGTCTTGTGCTAAACCTTACTGTTTTGGACAAAGTAAATGAGCATCCCATCTGCTATAAAGAAAAGTAAGCCCTGTCTTTTCTGAGCAGCTGTACTTTTGTGCTCAATGGCAGGCACAAAAGGAAAGGAAGCAAACAAATGCAGTGCTGGCAGGAATTTTGGAAGAAGTAATGGAGATTCCAACATCTGCAGGATTTATTGAACCCACTGGGAATTTGTTTGCTGTGCTTGTGCTGTCCTTTCACCTTCATTATCCTCTACCACAGCCTTTTGTGTTCATTTACCATGACAAGTTGCTCACAGAAAGATGGCTGTGTGTGACCAAATGAGCAGAGCTGGTAGGAAGTGCTTGCATTAGAAGTCATTATGATGATGATCGTATGTTTGCAAGACTAAGTATTTGTCTTAATAGTGCTTTAAGCTTTTCCCACTGCCTGGAAGGCCATCGTAATTTGGGCATGTAAATCATTGTTTTAAGGCAGTGAAACTTATGGGCCCAGAGTGAACATATTATCAAGTTTAAGTGTAATTTCAAAGACCAGTAGCCACTTCCTCTGAGAGCCTGTTCTACTTGTGTTTTAGCTACCTCGTGGAAGAAGGCTGACTTTAACAATGGCACTATCATCATAAACATGGTTAGGGATCTGATAGGTCATTAGGCATGTTGAAGTCAGATAGCTAAAAGATGTTTTAATTATTCTTTTTTTTTGTTTGTTCTAACAGTCACTGCCAGATGCGAATAGCTGATTTCATGCATTAGGCTGAAAGCTGTGGCTGTTAAGGAGCGGATTTGTGACCTTCCATTAGCATGTGAGCCTGAAGCCCAAGGGTAATGCAGCCTCAGACATTTTATTTTGTTCTGCTGCTGTGAGTCTATTTGGGATTTCAGGCTGTGGACAGATACGCTAATCCATTTGCTTCTATGTTGGCTGGAGAGTTTGATTTGTCCGTAATGAGTTGGAGACATCTGACAAGTCATTCATTCAGCAGATTTGAGAGGATGGGGAAACAGTGGGAGTCTGGTAATGAGGAGCTGGGGACCGTAACTCTCACTGCATCTAAGCCAACAGAAAGATGTGCGTGCAACGTATTTGAGAGGTAGAAGGGTTAGCTTTGCCTTCTGGTTTTTGGTCAAATATTATTCCAACTCCTTGTAATTTGGTATATGTATTTTATTTTACGCTAATAGCTAGGAGTAAAGGTTGGTTCGGTCAACCATTATGCCAACTAAGTGCTCCTTCCAAGTAACAGGACTTGGGCTATCCGGGGACTAATCCCCGCCACTGTGCCACACGTATGTTGCAAAAGTGACTGTGGGCAACTCTGCATAAACCTGTCTTGCTTTGCTCACTAGGTTGGTGATGATTGGTAAGTGATTTTCAAACTGTAGGTACGTAATACGTGTGCCGTGGGTGAAGCTGGGAGCAGTTCTTGATACAAGACTAACATCCAATTGTATCTTTCAAATACAGTGAAAGATGCAAAACCTATTGCAGATGTACCATGTAGAACTGTCAAAGGGCAATTAAATCCTTACCAAGAAATGCATAGCATCGTGTTGAATAGTTCTGTCTTCGTGACCTCTCTTCCTTATATACTTCAAATTTCTCTCTCAGCAGTGTATTTGTTTTGTAGATGTAAGGCAAAATCATCTACCTATGTCTTCCTTAAATCTGTTTTATCTTCTGAGATTTGATTCTGTTGTTTCTTTGAGATGCATGGCCAGGAATTTAAAGAGTAAATATAAAAACCCAAGGATGCAACATTCAGATCTGCAGTTGTGGGCAAGGATGTAACCTTTTATTTTAGATATCAGCGGTTACTAGTCTACCTACGGGGGAGTTTGCTAATACTTTACTCTTAGCTTAGCACTGGGTAACTCTAACAGTATGATTCTCACTGAAGGACAGCTAATATGTTGTCTTAATACCATGTCTGTACCAGAAAAGCAACTGGTAGGGCTAATTAAGATCAAGATTTTGTTAAATAAGAGCTCAAACAGGTTGCCAAACCCAGACTTTGGGCCTAGGATTGTGAGGATTGGTGGTGAGGTTTGAAAACTCAGATGTCATTGTTAACACTGTGAGGAAGCTGTTTGGTTCAGCATTTCAAATAACAGTAATTCCTTCAGCGCCTCACTATAACTGTGATAATCAGGCTGTCTTTAATCTTTTATGGCTCCAGTCAGGCTGAAAATATGCATGTATTTTTATTGAGATGATCAGAGGCTGTCTGCTTTCCTTGATTGGTGACTGGGACAACTATTTGAAGCAGAATTTCTAGTTTGGATTTGAGAGTACATGCACATAAGTTGATGTTAATTATTTTGTCTCTTCATAAAGTCTGCTTAATGACTTTATGGCAGTTTATGATAGTACATGAGCTCAGAAAGTTTGTGAAAAGTCTGCTTCCAGGATCAATGTCTTCCCAGAAAAATTGTAGGATTTTGGCACAAGAATGTTGCAAGTTGTTAGATGAACTATGCAGGGCTGACCGTGAATGAAAACAATGTTTCTGCCTAAACAGAACTAAGACCAAACCATTCAAAACGTATTAACTAGGTCAGCCTAACTCAGAGGGATTTTTTGTTGGTTTGTTTGTTTTCTTGCTTATTAAAGTGAATCATATGGAAATAACTATTGACAGAAAAAGCAATTCTTACAAAAGCATCGCCTGCCTGGAACTTGGTGCAGAAAGCCAGCTGACGCACTCAAAAGCAAATTCGTTTCAGCATTTATATTAGCAGTTATCAGACTTTTATCTCTAGCAGCAGAAAAAAAAATGTTGTTGAGTGTGGGCTCGGCAA